CTTGGGAATGTTATATTATAAAAGTGCCCCTAAATGGTATTTTGATAATTTCACAACTCTTGAGGTGTGATTAGGGTTTTTAATGCACCAAAAATCATAAAACTAATTTCAAAACATGATTTGGAGCATTTTGTAAAAAATCGACCTTAGGAAGATCAAATTACAAAAATACCCCTAAAGGGCATTTTAGTAATTTCACATCTTCCTATATGCGATCAAGGTTTTTAATGCATAAAAAATCATAAAATAATATTTAATCATAATTTGAAAGTTTTCACAAAAACTGACTTTAAGAAAATCAAATTACAAAATTACCTATGAAGGGTATTTTGGTAATTTTATCTTTTTCGAAGTGCAATAAGGGCTTTTAGTGCATTAAAAGAATCAATTTCAATCCCAAGCCTTGTTAATCCTATTTAGTTGTGAAATTTATGAGTTGATCCAAGTTCAATTTGGTTTGACTAATTTTGATCAATTTGATCAAGTTTGATTTTATTTGACCAAATTTGACCTTCAGGCATTTGTGTCAAATTAGTCCTAAATTCAATTTTGAAAACTCATCAAAGTTAAAGAGATGTTGTATTCGAATAGGGTTGGATTTTAAAGGCCTCACGACTAGCTAGATTCTGTAAGGATAATTAGGTGTCTATACTTTTGTAAAGCAAAGTTGTTTGTGAATGGATTTCCCCCTTTTTTCCAAATTCATTGTTCATAGGCTATCTACCATGGGAATCGATCATGAGGCCCAACAATACATGAAACACTTGTCTGTGTTTCCAAGAAATTTCCAAGTCTGATCTTTACCATTAAAATTTCTGATACTTTACTCTGGTGAAGTTGTATTATTGTTATATTCTTTTGTTAAATGTATTTCAAATTGTGTTGTACTTAAAGAAATGAAGATGTCAAACTTAAGTTATTGGATGGTTTCGATTTTTATGTAGGATTTTTTTTAATTTGAATTAAGGTTATTGTCTGCCTATTATTCATGAACAAGTTTTTAAATGAGATGATCTCGAATTGATCTCGACCATCCTAATATATAAACAAACCAAACACGAAAGTGTAAAAGTTTTTTATTAAACATAATTGAACCTGAACAACCATAAAAATAAATGAATAAATACGAAAATTATAAGTTTGGTTTGTTAATTTCTTTATATCCATATTAGCAAGCTATAGCATAAAAAAAATTTTCACAGAAGGATATTAAAAAATGCTTAAAAGAGTAATTGGGAACTTAATTTAGTTAATTTATACAACCACTTTTAAAAGATAACATTTAACAAGTCTAAAATTTGATCTATAATCTATTTATTTATTTTGAAGTTGCAACCATTTATATAAATTAAAAAAAAAAAACCTTAAAAGAGAGAGAGAGAAGAAAAGAAATACTACCCTGTTCGCTTTTAAGCCATTAGCCAAAATCAAAGAAGACAGGATTTAACCTTTATTGTCTATTTTAATCAAGAAAAGAAAAAGTATATGTTATTTTTTCTCTTTCACTTTTTTTCTTAAAATTTTATAAGATAAACTTTTTCACCTTACCACAAGTTTTAAATATTTTATTTATATTTATATTGAATATTAAATTTATTTTGCTTTAATATGTAACTCAAATTTTTTTATTTTGGATTTAATTAACAATCAAATTTTATTTTGGGTTAAATACATATAGGTCATGTTTGATGCATAAAATGATAGATATGATAGTATAATAATCATTCTACATTATGTTTGGTTTGTATCTAATTAAAAGAGATATGATTACAAGGAGGATTATCATCCTCTTGGTATAGGATGATTCAATCCTCCCAAAGTAGAGAAGATTATTTTTAATCCATAGGAATAAACCTACTTATCCCATTATACTCTTAAAAATTACATCAATAACTTAACTTGTATAAACTTTTAGAAAAAATAATTTTGATCAATAAATAAATTATCTTATTTTAATCCTTACACACATCAAACATAAGATAAAATGGTATTGTTTAATCTAATCTTATTTATAATATTATCTTATCATATCGTATCATAATCTTGTGTACCAAACATGATCATAGAGTATTTGAACTATGCCACTTTTTTCTTTGAACATAAAGTATAAAAAAATCATAATTAAATACTCAAATTTTAGTTTCATTAAATACTTTGCTCCTTTGACTTGCAATATTATTCAAATAGCTAGCGTGGTAAAGTCATTAATAGGATCATGACACGTGGTAAAAAGTATCATGTCTTTTTTAGTTATTTTAAAATCACAAAAAGAAAAAAGAAAATAAAAGAAAAGTCGAGCAGAAAAAAATGAAAGAAGAGATAAAAGTTTTTTTTTTTTCTATATAAGAAAAGCCGCAGCTTGAAGATAACAATAGAAAAATGCAAGTATGAGAATTTGAATCTCATACTTACTGAAAGTCATCATTTAAAGGTGCTACATGAACCAATTATATTAAGTCTTGAGTTTGTTCCCTTCTTTCATCTCTCTCTTCGACTAACCTCCCTCTCTTTTACTTTTTATAAAAAATTTTTGGAATGTTTTTAAAAATTTTCCATATTTTTCTTTTTTGAATTTTTTAGTTTTGAATTTTTTGAAGTTCCTAAAAAAGTTTACCATTTTTTTCCTTTTTTTGGAACTTTAAAAGAAAATTGTCTATACATATTTAATTTAAACAAAAATCATCTTTTTTGAGTTTTTTTTTTTTTAATTTTAATTTTTTAAATTTTTAACAAAGTATTTTCATATTTTTTGAAAATTTTCTATATTTAGGGTTTTTAGAAAAGATTCCTCTTTTATTGTTTTAAAATTTTTCCATCTCATTTTGATTGGCTTAAACCTACCAATGACGTATTTGCTGATTAGGCAATTGCATAAGAGATGGCATATTACAGAAATTAACAAAATTGCTTAGATGTAACCTTCTTACAAGAAAGGCTTAGCTCAATTTTTGTTCTTTTTCTTTTTTTGAAACTCACAATGTATTTTTGTTCCTTTTTCTTTCTTTGAAACTCTCAATGTCAACGCTACAATGCAATTACATAAAACTCAGCTTGAGCATACCACGTTACCAAAAAAGAAAAAACACATTGAGCCATCTAAATTGACTTCCACTATACAACTATTACTTCATCTAGAAATTGAACCACATGCATCGGCCAATTAGCTGCAAATCTTATCCATTCCACGTTTATTTTATTTTAATGTAAGAGAGATCCCTTTATATAGTTGGGGAAATTTTAAAACATATTGAGGAAATTAATTTATTGATTCTTCATTTGATTTAATTTACTCCTAAAATATCCTACTTAAGGGAATGTTTTGTTATTGGGTTAATGGACAAAATTACATTATTCAAGCTATGTAATTTTTCATTGCTTGACTTGTAAATAGATCTTGCAATTTATATATTTATATTATATTTGTTTTGTGTTAAACATGTGTAAAACACAAAATTTATGTATTATAATTCGTGTATACACATCAAACACAATATATATTTTTTTAAATTCATATATAATTTTTATCAAAATTTTAAGATATATCACTTTTATTTTTATATTTTTTTTCTTGTCATGTCATATTTAAAAGTATATGCTCTAGCTCTGGTTATAAGTAGTAAAGACACTTCTTGGTCTACTATTTGCATGTTACGTAGAAAGGATGCACAAAATCATTGAGATTCTCCCCTTATTTTGAAAACATAGTCATTTTCCAAAGTGAATAATTATCGAAGTGGAAAATCAAGAAATGGTCTTTGAATTTACTAACAAGAAGCTTCTGCAAACGACTCGAATAGTAGACCAAATTTGTTATTTGAATTTTCTTCGCTGATACTAATTAAAATGTCGGAAAAAAGCGGCTACTGTTTTTGTATTTAGCTGCCAAATGCCAAATATGAATGCCGTATGAACCCACAAACACTACGCAGTACTCTCGCGTCTCTTTCATGATTAGGACTTTACTGCTACTTTCCGCTAATTACGTTAACAAATTAACTCAACAAAAGTCGTCTAATTTACTATTAATACGAAACTTCTAACATTCAAATTTGGAGACTTCTTTAATGCAAATTTTGTGCCGGAATTAATTTGAAATACTTCTACGTGCAAAGAGATCCACAAATATTGATATAAAATTAATTTAATTTACATTATTTTATATTATTTATATTTTATTAATTTGTTCATTAAATTTTATATTATATTTGCGATCCAAGCATACTGAATTTCAAGTTAATAAAAAATATTTAACTATTTTTTAGATAATAATAAAACTTTAATTATTAATAAATATTTAAAAAATACAATTGTCGATCAAATTATAGGAATTATAGGATGTCAGATCCATTTAAAATTTTGCATGCTTGATTAATACAAACAAATTGTTAAATCCAATGGTCAATTCATAAAAATATTAATCATACAAAAATTAAAAAATTTGTACAACAATTTGTTTTAACACAGATTAATTTTTACCCATATATATATATATATATATATATATATACTTCATATTTTTATCAAAAAGGCCTAGGTCTGGAGGCAAATAAAAAGCTTGAAATCTCCATATCCTAAATTTAAATTTTATTATATATGAATTTGATTTAATTTTATATTAAATTTATCCAGTTATATATTAGATTGATATTTTATATCAAATACTTATTATTATAAATTTTCTTTGACTAATAATTTTATAAAAAAATTTCCATGTTTTGAAAAAAAAAAAAAAGAACAACCAAGAGCAGGTCCAGTTTCAGCGTTAATTGAGAGTGTACAATAGTATATTATTGAGATTGTAGAACAGTATATATTCTCAAGGTATCAAGACAATTTCCGCCCGACGGAAAAGTAAACATAGAAAAGTCTTATCCTTGGCGCAGCACATCAGCCGCCACGATGATATGTTCAGTATTAGACTTGCATCAAACAACACTACAGAAATATCTGTATATAAAGGAAGCAAGCAACGTAACATGATATCCCACAAACATAATAACTGATCATAGCTTTTCAGAGAAGTTGGAAAAGCAAAATCATGCCTTCATTTCAAATGGCAACCATATTTCTCCTCCTTGCTGTGATGATGCTTGGAGGATCCATTAATGCTCAGCTTAGCCCCACGTTTTATGCCAACACATGCCCTAACGTGTCCAGCATTGTACGAGAGGTGCTGGAGCAGGCTGTCCAAAATGACATCCGAGTTGGTGCCAAAATCATTCGTGCTCACTTTCACGATTGCATGGTCGATGTAAATTTTCATCCACTTTTCGATCCTCCCTATTTTTTTAATATGCGCCTGACTTACTTAAAAAGGAAGCTTGCATGCATGATTTTCAGACTCGCTTATGTTTTATCAGTTGGTAACAACCTATTTGTGGTTTGTGCAGGGTTGTGATGGATCACTTTTGCTAGATGATGATGATGCAAATGGCATAGTTAGTGAAAAGGATACGCCTCCCAACGAAACAATTGATGTAACCATTGTTGATGATATTAAAACTGCAATCGAGAATGCCTGCCCAGGAGTTGTATCCTGTGCTGATATTTTGGCACTTGGATCTCAAATTGGAGTTTCATTGGTACTTAATTACAGCATCCCTTAACTAATACTAAAAGATTTCTTTCTCTAATTAATGCAAATAATGTTTTTTTCTTTATCCTGGAAGGCTGGAGGTCCAACATGGCAAGTACCACTCGGAAGAAGAGACAGTAGGACTGCAAACCAAGCTGGAACTTCTGGAATCCCGTCTCCTTTTGACAACTTCAGCGAGCTGCAGCGAAAATTTAGAGATGTTGGACTTGATGATTCTACTGATCTGGTTGCTTTGTCAGGTAATTTCTAGCTTATTCTGAAAAAGGCAAAATAGAGCCGTTGGTTGAGTTGGTAAGGGTTGAATTCTTCGTTTGTAAGATATAGGTTCGAAATCTGCTGCTAGCAGTTTCTTTGATGGACGATCTATAAATCCAATATAAATTCTCTTTGAAATCTATGGCTAGACCTGACCCCTGGATTGGGTAAGGCTCCCTCGCCTTAAAAATTTTTAGAAGCAAATCGAACATCATGCTGAACACAAATTGCCTTGTGCTGCTTATATGTTGGATCACGAAAATTTTTGAACTTATAAACATGTTTATTGATTGTCAGGTGCGCATACATTTGGACGTGCTCGATGCCAAACTTTCAGCTTCCGCATTGGAAACGATACGACCTTGGACCCAACATTTGCCGAAGTACTTGGACAAATATGTCCTGAAGGCGGGAACGCTAATGTCTTGACAAATCTTGATTCAGTAACGCCTGACGATTTTGACAACAACTACTACATAAACCTCCAGAACAATCGTGGCCTTCTCCAAACTGATCAGTTTTTGTTTTCAACCACTGGAGCTAACACAGTCCCCATCGTCAACAGATTTGCTGGTAGCCAAAGTGACTTCTTTGATGCCTTCGTTCAATCCATGATCGCTTTGGGAAACATAAGCCCATTGACTGGAAGCAATGGAGAGATCAGGGCAAATTGCAGAAGGATCAACTAGAATGTTTCTGCACACCTATATTACATTATTGAGGGATACTGAAGATTTCCCAATATTTTATCAATTGTACAATAAGGGCAATGAAATGTTTTGTCCGGTTTATATGTTATCAAATTTGATGGCTTGAAGCAAAGTAAAAGTTAACATTTTCCTTTTTATTTTCTTATGAGCGGTATGAATTCTGTTTTTCCTTTGCCCTAGACTTGAAGATGAGATGCTCAATATAAGCATCCCCCGATTTCAAGATTAAGAATAAATAGAAAATTATACAAACAATAACCGGAGCTTAGCAAGCTCAATTGATTCCACTCCTCAGAAGTGGCATCCAGCAAGATTTGAGGTCCAACTTGCAATTCTTTCACCTATTCTCAAACTATGGCCTCCTTTAAACAAAAAATATTATACAAAAAATTGTTCATACTTATATAACTAAATACTAAATAGTAATAGCATATGTTAAAGTGAGATAACGGTGTTAATTATCAAGTACATCATAACTATGAGGAATCACAAAATTGGTAAATTCGAGAAATCAAATATAACTATACAAGGAAATTTGAGGCAAAATTCTACTAAGTACACTACTTCATCAGATAGAGATGAAGCACGTGTAGCTAAAGAATATTGAGCCACAGTTTATCCTTCCCTCTTATTAAAAAACCAAGAAATTACATGCGTATTAGAAGCCAAAGAGTTGATTTCTGCAATGATATGTCCCAATAGAAAAACAACTTCAACCTTCTCCCTTGAATTCCAAAACCGCTTGAAAAGAATCAGTCTCAGTGGTCACATCAGAATTTCCAATATCTTGTGTAACAAATCACTCTCATCACAACCATAATTTCCCAAGCAAACACTGAAAAAAAAAAAAAATCTATCAAGAGCACGTCAATTTATATTAACTCAAATCCAAAAATTTTGGTGAGATATTTATTTTAGATTTTTTTTAAATTAGTTAGATATTATTTGATGAATAATAAAATTTGTAAGGCAAAAATTTTTAAAGACAAGAAATTCTTAGTTGACAAAGCTTAAAAATAATGAGAGTCTCAATAAAATTAGATAAAGAGAGAAAGATATAATAAAAGTTATAAGGTTTTACAAGATAAAACAGTGCATAGGATTAGAGGAGATTAAAATGATTTATATTGGTATATATGTTTCAATGTTTGGTGGATGGATACTTCATAGGACTAAAGTATATTGAGAGGATTCATAGATATATGTGAATGTTTTAGTTAAAAATATTTTATAACACTAGAAGAGAATGATAAAGTTATGGGTCTTAATATGAGTGCGTGATTGATTTAATTATATGATTGTAAATTTTATAACTAATAGATTTTTTCTCATATCCGTAGATGTAGGCAAATAGAGTGCCAACCATGTTAAATTATTATTTTTTATACAAATAATTTATAGTTGAATTATATTTTCACTTACTTAGATGTTTACTTGATTAGGGTTTTTAGCCTAACACACAACTATCTACGTAATTACAAATAACATATCCTAATCTTGAAACCAAATTGCCCTGAGCCTTAACAACATCAACATGTAATCTAAATCTATCCCTTAAAGCTTATGAATTAGGTCTTAAAATCATGCATATGTGAAATTTCTTTGGTTAACCGTTCCATATATTAAAGCATAGCCTTCCATACTTACATAAAGATTCAAATTAATCGTAAGGTATATAGTTTCATTTATATATGCAAAACTTTAATAGTTTAATTTATTTTATATATGGTACAAATTTCAGAACAGAAATAAACACTACTTAAAATGCTTTTAGAAGGAAAGTCTATATAATTAAATTCAAGACTATTTTTTCTTATATTGAGCTATATTCACGAATTGTTGCAGCAGGAATAATTAGGACTTCAAAAAAGTGTGGCTTTGTTAATTATAAAATATAAAATTTTTACTCATAAAGGTTATTAGTTCAATTGGTAAACAAAATGACCTATCTTTTTTTGTCAATCAAAATATTCTAAAAATAAAATTTTAAATATATTACATTGATATAGGAGATTATGTTTTTAAAATCTTTTAAATGAGGGAATTAGATCCAAAAACATTTTGAGAATAATTTTGATTGTATTGTCAAAAAAAAAAAACTTGAAATTTCTCATGAATGTTTGATAATTTTCCTTTGATTTGTTCAAACATGCATCTACTCTCATGAATATTTATCTAAATATAAAAGTATAAATTCTAAAAGTATTAATAGGGATTGACTTAAATACTTTTATAAATTTTTAAATTGAAATTTATTCTTAAATATATAACTTTTATTATTTATTTAAGTTTAATTTAAATCAATTAGAAAACTATTTAAAATTTTAATTTTAAAAGTGTTAAAAGTGATTGACAAAAATATTTTTAGTAAATTTTTTTTATAAATTTTAATTCAAGTGAATTTTTTATTATTAGACTTCTTTTTTAATAATTAGACTAAAAAAGTGCTAAAAGTAATTAATTAAATCCTTAATAAAATTTTAATTCCAAAAATAGTAAAAGTGATTGATTAAACTACCATTAGTAATTTTTTATAAATTTTGATTTAAATGATTTTATTTTTATTATTAAACTCCTTTTTTTATAAGTAAAATGAAATTTCACTTCAAATGAAAATACAAATACAATGATATAAAAGTTTATTGTATATAAGAATAAAATAATTATATAAAGTTTATTTCTTTGGTTATTACAAAAACAATTGTATATGCAGTGTATATTAATAAATAAATTCATTAAAAATAATCATAATTAAGTCATTTAAGCATATTTGATTTTTTTCTATTTTTTATCTTTCAATTTTTTGTTTCAATATATTTACTACATATGTATAATAATGATTTTATTATTTATATGTTTTATGAATTGATCATTTAATCATTAATAACATAATTAAATCTTTTTAATCCATTGAAATTAATTTTTAATATATCATTCTTACACTTTAGTAATTAAATTTTCTTTTGCATATTTTTCTTTTAGAATTTTATAATTGTTATTCTTGTGAACAAAAACTAATATCAAATCAATTACACCATGTTCACTAACAATTAGTATTTTGTGATTGATTGAATATTTTCATTGGATTTTTAACCTGTAGAATTAAATAATTCAGGAGATATTGGAGCTATCAGTAGCTCAAGATTAGGTACCTTAAAATTGCCATAAAAATTGTTCACCTTTATTAAAATAATAATTGCTTTAATTTTCTCTCAACTTTATCTTAATATGTTTATGTATTAGTAATTTATAACTCAAGATTATTTAATCTTTCTTAATTATATTAAATTGCTCACTTTTTTGTCATTCAAGTGATTGAACCATTTGACATGAATTATTGTAAGTAAAAAATTATCAAGTAAAATTAATTGTTTTTGGTGAATTCTTTTAAGGTGTGACAAAATTCATTGGAATATCTTTTGAATATGTTTATATCAAAATCACATTCGTTCATGAAAATTTATATTGTTAATACTAAAAATCAAATCATTATAAATTACATAGGTATTAAATAACAAGCTTGTTATTCTTAGAATTAAATTTTTCATAATAAATCATGACAAGTATCAAAGCTAAGAATTTATTTTATTTTATTTTATTTTTAAAATTATGTGTTTTAATATTTTTATGTAATAAAATTTTTTAAATAAAGGAAAATTTAAGCTTTCAAATGATAAAACGTCCAATTATATTCAATTGACAGAAATATCAATAGAAGATTATCCTCAACAAAAAAATTAGATGAAAGATTGATTGATTGTTCAACTTCTCCTAGCATAGACTTAGAAAATATTCTTGACAAAGGATTTTCATTAGAAGCATCAAGAAAATCAATTGATAAAAATTATACCAATTGTTAGAAAACAATTCCATATTCTAAGTCATTATAGGCAAAAGAAAATTTATTCACTAAGCACAAGTTGCCAATTGCAAGGGAGATATATCTTTAAGCTAGAGGTCACATATCAATTTAAACATCGAATAGCACAAGAATGGCAATAAAACAAAAGTTGTCATGTAATATACAAAAATCAAATATTTTAGATCAATCATGAACACAAAATGGATATATTCAATATTCATATATATTCAATAAATCACCAAAGAATATACCAAAATAAATTTTAGGCCATGTGAAAGCTAAAAACTCAAGGAAAACATATTTATCATAAAAAATATATTCAAGAAAATTTTAGCACAAAAGCATAAATATGTCCACACGAATTATAGGCCATAATCAATAATGACTTAAGCTAAAAATAAGCATCATAAGAAATTCATTTACTTAAGTCATGTAACAACTATGACAAGTTAAGAAAAACCACATTTATCATATATACACACACTTGACAAGAACAAGAGATGAACCAATAACATATATCATTTACAAGCAAATAGTTCATCATATTCAAAATCACAAATCAAGAGATATATCAATTAAACACAAGATGTAAAATATTTCACAAAATTAATAAAACATTTAAGGCTTATTTCACAAAAGTATTTCACAAATTAAAAAAAAAAGTAGACAATTTAAGCACTTTCAAATCGCAAGTATTAAGGTCAAATTGAATCAATCATCATATAAGCACATATCTTGACCAAAAACATAGATGATCAAAGAATCAATTTATATATATATCACTTAAGCACAATATGTTCATCAATTCACAAATCAAGAGTTATAACAATTTAGAATATAACAATCAAGTTTAAAAAAATATATTTCACACCATCCAAGCATTAAAAACAAATTAAGTAATTTTAATCAACATGGTCATATAAGAATGTTCAACAATTACAAATCAATATGCATAAAAATCACAAAAATCATTTCCATCATGCTAAAATCATTTAAAAAGTATATTTATGCAAAATACCATAGGATAAATCATTCAAAGCTTAATATGTCTAGGATTTTGATTTTTATACTTTAAAACTCATATTTGCATGAAATATACCTTAATAAATCACAAAACTAGTCAAGCTCATTTTTAACCAACTTGAATCATTCCAACAAGTTTCAAATGACAAAACAAAGTTGTTCAAGTGGTCATTTGGCATTAAAAACAAGAAAATCAAAATGTCAACTCTTAATCCTCATATTTCCTTGAAAATGGCTATTAAGAAGTGCAAAAATGTTTAAACACACATTTAAGCTCTTCAAACCATTTAGAAAAGTTTTATTTAACACCATAAACAATTTCTACAAGCATCCAAAACATATTTAAAAGCAAAATAAATGCATATTTAATTCATGCTCACATATATCAACAAAACATATACCAATATCCATTAAGCATTCTAAGTCTAACAAGAATACGCAACCAAATTTTGCATAATCATT